ATGGAGATACAGCGGAGTAAGGAACATTTGTTACAATACTTTATGGATTAAAGCTTCGCAGCTATGAAAGTTCAAAGACTTCGCGTGTGCACACACTGAGTGGGGATCCAGACCCACCTGATAGACTGCAACTGCCCAAAGTCGACGTTCAGTCACATTTGGATTAGACGACCAATCTCCCCTTCTTTTGGCGGTGGAACCGACATGGCTCCGCAGAAAGGGTGTCAGAAAAATTGTCCTCGTCGGCTCCGGGTCGCGCTTGGTTTTGGCTCGGGGTGTGCATGTTTGGGATCTAAAAATGAGTTTTTTCTTTAGTGGTCGCCTGTTAGGTGTGTCGACGAACAGCTCCGGGCTCCTGGCCATCTCTGGAGCGGCTTCGGGATGGCAATTAGGAAGATCGTTGATTTTATGGCTTTGCCGGCCCCTGGCGGCGAATCCAGTGGAAATTCTGCCCCTTTGGAGGCTGATTCGGTCGAATTGAATGGAGGCGGTTAGAATGAGACCGTCCAGAACGTCGAAGGTCGCCGGGAACCATTAGCGAGTGGTGGCGCCTCGAAAATATGGAAAGGTTGTGAAATTTCGTACATTATCGGCTCTAGCGGCCGATCCATCGGAGATATGTTCCTTTTCGACGTTGTTTCGATCGAATTGGGTTGCGGTGGTCCTAACGAGTCTATCCAGAACGTCGTAGGTCGCCGGGAACGATTAATTGCTTAGAAAATGGAAAGATGCGTAAAATCCAGCTTTAGTCTTGCGCGTGCCAGAATGCATAGTGAAGCATAGGGAGCTCTTGGTTTAAGTCTGACGTGACCTATATCATACTTGGAGGTTGTAGAGACGTATTTCATCGTAGTTTCCAGCCAGATTGGAAAGATGGGTGAATTTTGAAAACGCTCGGAAGCTTGTATTACGACAAATACAGTACATTAATAGTCCACCGGCTCGCCCCTTTAAAAGTAGTATGCCTTTTAGGTTGGAAACCTTTATCTTGCGTCGAGTATACCTCTGAACTTCTTAAAAAAAATGGAAAAAAGAGAGAGAGAAAGTGTGGCAGTACCGTAGTACCGACAGTAATTAAAAATAAAACACCGTTCAACTCTGCTATAAAGAAAATAATAGGCGATAAAATTGTTCATCTCTAGACTACACATAACATGTAATGATTAAAAATTGATGATGATTCTTAATGTTTTAAGGTCAATCTTGAGGTAGTCCCAAATACCTCGTAACAAAATAGTGCAGCAATGTGATATCGGTTTGTTTGGACTAAGAAATCAAAACACAGAGCTGAATGCTGTTCACTATTGTATTCAGTGTTCTCAGTTTATACCGTTTACATAACTTTTCCTGGTGTGAGAACGCCCCATAAGCAGGATGGCCGCGTTAGATGCTAATTATTAAAGAGGGATGTCATCCACTACGTCGCTATTACTGAGTCGGCCAGAACCCCTTTCGGAATGCGCGAGCAGTCGAGGTCAGCCGAAGGAGCGCTGTCCGCGGGGTCAGCGAGCACGGGAGTCAGTCACGGGAGTCACCAGAGTCCCGACATAGCTAATAAACAAGAGACAACTCTGTCGTTTGATGGAATAAACATATTGTTGAAATTATGTGTTTTAATCGGGGGGTGAAAACCGCCGTGTTTCTAACAAGTATATCATATCGTAATAAACACTCATTAAGAATTGGCAGATACAATGACTTAAAGATCAAACTGAAATTACAGTCAACCTACAAAATCAATGACTACTAGCACTTTGTTAAGTATTGTAATATGGGTGGCAAGATAATGTAGACATTTAAAAAATATATTTTTGTACCAAAATTAATCAAAATTCTACAAGAGATCCAAAAACATCCAAATTGTATCACCTATCAAATAATTGTCTTTATTGCCCGAAATAGAAAAAAGTTATGAACCGATATTATCACCATACATCAATTTTGTAGTTGTAAGTCTTAAAAACACTCTGTATAACACCAAAATTTGTAGATGTGTATATATACAGGGTGTCTCACGATGACGGCCCATTAGAATTATTTCAGAGGCTACTGCTACCACACCCTCTGACCGAGGTATGAGCAATAGTAGGTTGCAAAAAAACTCAGTTCCCACTAAGATCAGCCCAAACGACCTAGTGCGGACTAGCTCCAAGTTGGTAAAAATCCTCAGGGTCGTTAAATTGCTCAGGGAGAAGTCTAACTGTCACACACGAAACAAAGGAGACACAAATAAGAGCTGAGAGTTAGATCAGGAGTATTCCTCCTTAGACTAAGGTGCAATGAAACTCCGATCTTTTAATAACACTAGGTATATTCACTGGGTAGTATTGCAGGTGGTATAATTCTACAATTAGAGAGAGACGACTGAAGGTCGCTGCAGTATGGTCTATAATAATAAATGGAGTGACGCTCCACTTATGGCAGTGCACCCTTCCCCAGTTGTAGCTACAAGTGGTTGACAGTAAATGGGTGACTACATATGTTAACTTATGCCTAAACAGATTCGCACAAAATATATGAACAATAAAAGAATGTATCTGGACGTGAGGTCAACTCACTATAACACACAGGTCGTGCCTGAGCGGTAAAGCTAATCATGTACACCCGGTATATTTCCCGAACTTACAACACACGTTATGAAAAAGAATCGGATAAACAAATACAGACTTAACTACTAAATGTTACTAACACTACTAACTACTACTAATCAGTTAAACTGAATGGTTGTCACGGTATCTACTGTGCAGTGGTAAAGTTCCAACGGAGGCCTCAACAGTTGACGAAGGCAAGAAGCCCTAGGAGCCCGTCCGACCAAGCTGAGAGGAAAAGCGTAGCCAAATGGATGATAACTGATCTCCTAGCTCCGAGATAATCCTCACCAAGACGAAAACAACGGGCACGCCACTGGACAAGAGGCAATCTCATGTGTGCCTAGCGAAAGACAAGGAAGTTCGCAGGGAGAAGAAAACTTCACTTCGGAGAGAAAAAATCCTGTATTGAAATACGGTTGTAATAGCTATACAGTACGAGTAAGCATGCGAAGTGAGTATAAAATGGCGAAAATCTTTACCTTTTTACTAAGGGTTTTTTTCCTTTAAATGCCAAATCGGACAGGCTTTCGGTCAAAAATGCAGTTAATCCAATGACAGGACAAACAGAATCCACATAACGTCAGGCAAAAGGACTGCATTCCTCGCAACCTCGCTGTCGTGTAAAAGAAACCCAGAAACTGGAAATAATTCTCCACAAAACACCAAAATTCTATCCACAAAACAATCCACAAAACTGAAGAATCACTTTCTTCAACGCAGGTGATAAATCCCTCAAAGGATGTTTAAAATAAAACTATATTTCACCATACGTTTAAAAACAGCCTCAAAGCAAAGTTCCCAAAATCGACCGACTTTTGACAGTCTATTGACAATCTTTACGAAATAAGACCTGCAGCCTGTGCAGCACCTGATAGTGTAACTGGTTGCATACTAACAACCGCATTAGTCGTGTCTTAATTAATAGTTGTATAAAGGCAAAATAAAACTGTGACAACCCCCCCTCAACTTCAAATGTGAAAATTCCATAGAATTTTCAATGCACGATAAAGACAGTAATACACTAATCAACTAAAGGTACGATAGGGTCTGTATTAAGGTGGCCATATCCCTGGCCGAGAAATAGTCAAATGTACTGAAATCTTGAAAAATATAACGTGTAGAACAAAAGTAAGCCCAAAAATAAAATCCTTGATGTTCTGTTTATTCATTGTTACTGTTTAAATTTACTCAAATAAAATAATAACTTAAAAAAAAGCGTTTGTAAAACATACCTTTGCTGTTATCCTAACCCCACATTTTAAGAATAATTTTCACATACTTGTAAATAAAAGTAAACAATTTTATATGTAGGACTAAGCAACTATATGCAGTGTCTACTAATTTTTTTTTTTCGGATTCAAGGAGTTTTCAAGGTGTTCAAGGGTTGATTTTAATTCATTTTTAAGGAGGTAATTTTTTCTAGGGTAAACACTTTTTGTAAAAGCTATCGACGTTAATTTACTCGAAATTTTTCATTTTCTTTACTCAAAATACAGTTATTAACTTGAAGATGAAGGTGCGCTCCGCGTTCACGACAGATAAAAAAATTACACATCTAACTGACCATCTCTCTGATTCTCTTTAAAAATTTAAACTCGAACGCATACGAGCGATTATTAAGTATCGCATTAAAATAGAATAATTGTAAAACTTTATAATTCTAAAGATAAAATGACTAAACTGAAAAATTGACAATTTAAACGGGATATGGGATATCTAAGTAAAATTGATCATCATAATTTTTACACTTACAACATACATTAAAATTATATTATATTGAAGGAATTTAATTATATTTATTAAACAAAAATAACAATACAATATCTGAAATAAAAATTTTATTACAATAATCGTTACAAAATTATATTAAATTGGTTTTGAGAACTATAAAAATTAAACAAAATTAAAATATTTAAGTAATTTCTAAAATAAGAATTATTTTCTTAATTGTTTATCTCTCTTTAATTTTTTGGTCATATTGTATTACATATTTCTGATTTTCACTTATTATCATTTCTAATTCTTTTTTTCTCAATTTTAAATCTGCTGCTTCTTCAACCAATTTTCTTTTTCTTTTTTTTTTCTTCACTTTCATTTTCTCTTTTGTCTTGTAAAGCTTGTTTTCGATTTGCAGAAGAGGATTTAAAAGCGGCAATCATTGGTTTAGTTATTTTAATATTTTTTACATCACCGTTATTATTAACAATAATAAAATCATGTACAGATCTTTGAGATATAAGACTTTGTTCTTGTAGATTCTCAACTAGGAATTCTTTGTTGAAAGAAAAATTGCGTTCTACAGCAGCATTTCCGTGAAAAATACTAATATTCGTTTTACAAATTCGACAAAATTCGCAGATATTTTTTGCTCAGCACATAGTTTCATAAAAAATTCATCTAGCTGATGTTTTTTCTCATCCAACTTTAATAATTCTTTTTTTACAGCGTCATTTTCTATAAAGGTAATCCTTTTCAATTTCTTCAGCAATAAGTTCACCAAAGTGGTTACGCCCGACTAAAACTTCTAAAGCCGGTTGAATCCGAATTTTAACAATTTTCGGATTCAACATAACATACGGAGAAAAATAATTAAATTCATTAAAAATTGTAATTAAATAAAATAATTGCGAAAAAATTTTTTCAAGGATCATTAGTTCGATTCAAGGAGATTTCAAGTATTTCAAGTAGATTAAATCCATTC